TGCCCCGGCCTCGGCCTCGGCCCGCATGCCTTGCCACGGCGTCGCCCAACTTGCCATGCCACGGGCTCGGCCCGCATGCCATGCCACGGCCTCGGCTCGCGTGACATGCCACGGCCTCGGCCCGCATGCCTTGCCACGACGTCGCCCAACTTGCCATGCCACGGCCTCGGCCCGCATGCCATGCCCTGCGTCTATCCTTACCACTATAATAAAGTTTAAAACCAGTATCCTCAATTTCCCTAGCTTTCTCTCCCGTCCACTTAGTTTCTTGTATGCAAGCTATACTAACTCTCCTCCTAATCATAACATCTACCAATTCCATCGTCCTACCAGTTAAGGTTCCTATGTTCCAAGTGGCTATCCTAAACCTATAGTCTTGGACTAGCTTCTTTACCCGCGCTCGTCCAGAAAAACGCGGAAACCTTTGCCCATTTTTCACCGCACCCAGGCGTCGATGCGGCGCCCCTTGCTCACTTTTCGAAACACCCGGAGGCAGGCGCAACGCGTCACTTGAGGGGAACGACCTAGCATTTAAACGATTCAAAGTAGGATTCATTTTCATAAGGGATCCGAGCGGCTTTTTTACATGTTGGCTGTCGGCTACCTAACACACAACCCTCCTCCTTAACCCGGGCTTGGGACCCGCGGAGTTGTTAACAACCCCGGCGGAGTTACAATGCTTCTGTACCGTCGCCATAAATTATTTATCTTTGCTGTTTTGTTTTGTATATATTATGTCAATATTAATTTAATAATGCATTACTAGGAGTCTGCTGGGCTAATTAGTTTATGTAAATAAATTAGTGATTGTTCATTCTATTATGAGTTTCTTCTGCTATGTGCTTAATTTGATGCTATTGAACTGTCCATTAATTTTATGTAGTCCCCTGTACAACCTTTAGTAGGATCTTCTGTTTATATCTTTTGAAAGTGTAATAGTATCTTGCTATGGTACTGCCCTGTGTGGTGTAATTCTAATATTGTGGATATTGCCTATCATTTCTTAGTAGTTTTTAGATGCTGGATGATATGTAAGTTATATGGATTGTTTCTTTTTTTAAATTGTGCTTGGATTTTGTTTTTCAGCCTCTACCTTTGAAGCGACTTACAGAGGGACTAGTTCAACAAAGAGATCGGAAGATAACGAAATATTATAAGCTATTCTCTAATGTCTATATCCCCCAAAGGTAGTTATTTTAAATCTTTTAAAGCAGTGAAAGGATTCTTTGTTAGGTCCATGTGCCTTGTTGCATTCTTTCTCTTATGTTTTCGATGTTTTGTTTTGCATCCTACTTTGACTTTATAATTCTGGATGGGGACAACTCCCTTGAAAATTGTGAGAAGGCTTCAAGTAGCTCTGGGGAGCATTTATTATCACGCTTTTCCTTTAGATTTTCTTACTGGTCCATTGTTGCCTTGAGGCAGTTGCCAGCAATTTTTTTGAAACTTATGGTTTGGCTCAAAACACCCCAAGTTCTCAAGTGATTGCTTCCTTTATCTGACTCCTGTGTTTTTATCTGTATGAGGATAGTTTGCTATTGTAAACAGTACTCTGGACAGGGACTGAGTCACTGAGAGTAGCTCTTGTTTGGAAAAAGCAATTTGTTAAATTGAACAAATATACACACACATTATGGAAATTTGTTTAGGTGTCTAGTTGTGTGAAACTGATTTTGTATAATGGTACCTTTTTTCATTTAGTGCTGTGGTGGAAAAGGTCCGAAACTAACATCTCATTTGGGAACATGAATATTTAACATTACTGTTTGTTTCAAATCTTGGATGTCAGTTTTCTTATTTTCTGCTTTGACCTTGATATTTGCAGGAGGATGATGTGCTTAGAACATTCAATAAGCAGGTTGAAGAAGACAGGAGAATTGTCATATCACGGAGCAATATAAATGAACTACATAAGGTATGGTGACAGTTTTCGTAGTAATGTTTGCTTTTTGGTGCAGTGCAGCTTTAATTTGTTAACTTTATGAACGTAGGATGTCCTTGAGTGGATGTGCCACTGAGTATTTGTTTTATTTTTTTTATATATATATGGATTTATTTCACAAATAACTGTGTATTACAGGTCCTTGAGGAGCACGAGCTATCTTGCTTGGACCTGTTGCATGTGAATACTGATGGTGTGATACTGACAAAGCGGAGTAAGAATCTAATGTGGCCCTCTTTTTAATTATTCATTCGAGTAACAAATGATTTTTCACTAAGGTTAAAGTTGCATATATCGAATGAGATCTACATATTGTTTTTTCTTGAAAAAATTGCGGGGTCAAGGTTTGAGTTTTTGAAGATTTTTAGTTTGCCTCTTATTTTATTTGTGGTATATGCATATGGTAGGCTAAATAAATGGTTGGCCTATAAAGTTAACAGTCACTATAAGATAAATTTTTAGGTGGCTGTAGTATGTGATACGTATTAATGGAGAGTGACTGAAATGGCTTACTTTTACTCAAAATATCTTTGATTTTGCAAGAATATGGACTACGTTGGTTCAGATAGAAGTTTCTAAAAACCATGTCGGGACAATTATTGATGCTTGTGAAACATCTGGGAAATATGAAATCTTAAATATTGGATGACACTACATTTGTTTCTCAACAGGCCTTTGTTGAGGGTCAATCTTGGATGTAGCTTTGGTAGCAAATGAGATAGTGGAAGATTATAGGTCTCAAGGTGTGAAGGTCGTATTTTTAAGGCTGATTTTGAAAAAAATTTGCTATCAAGTGGATTAAGATTTTATGGATTTTGTTATGGTGAGGAAAGGATTTGTTATTAGATAGAGAAAATGAATTCAAGGTTGTTTATCTTGCAGTCTTTCAGTAATTGTTAATGGTAAGGTGGGGGGGAGTTTTAAAACATCAAGGTTTTTAAGACAAGGGGACACTTAATCCTTCTTTTTGTTCACAATGAGTGGCAAACAGAATTGAAAAATTGATGAGTGGCCAAGGTTTCAAAAAGCGGTTGCAGTGGCGCGTTTGTGGTTGTGCGGTGTAAATGCCGTAGCGTAAAAATTGTGGTAACTGGAACTATGAATTTTTTTATTTTTCACACAATTTGAAAAAAAATTACCGATACGCATATTTTTTTCCTTTCAGAATCACATTTATTGGAGTTTAAGATAGATTTTGATTAATTTTTGTTAGTTTTTAAATATGATCTAATATATTTCATATTTTTAAATCACTATAAACGGTGCTTGCTACATTTTATTTTAATAGTTAATGACTTTACATGTCATGAATCCATATTGTACTTATTCTTATTTATTTGTTTAAGAATAATTGATTTTAAATGTTTACAAATTTATTTTTGATCAATACTTGAACTAACTAAATAAAAAAATATTTACAATTATTAAATGAAATGATTATTAAAAAAAAAATTGTGTCTAAACAAAAATTATTTTGAGCTACTAAATATTACAGAATGTGTATAATGTATATTTTGTACGTGTAGAATGTGTATAATGTATAGTTTGTAAGCTTCTTTTTTTTTGAAACAAAGTTGTTCAGAATATTGTAAATGTGTGTAACAGTGTGTAACGGGCTATTACGGCCATTACGTAACACCGAAACAACCGTTACATGTGTGAATTTCCGTCACATTGCAAAAGCAGGTGTAAAGGGTAGCGCCGTTACGTAATACTGCTTTTGAAACCTTGTGAATGACTTTATGGGAGACTAGTGGGAGGGTAGAGAGGACCATTTGGTTTGTTGGGATGTAGTCTCTCTTCCTAAGAATAAGGGGGCTTGATTTGGCCCGCATTTTAGAGAAGAATGCATGCATGCTTGGAAAATACTAAATAGTTATGAAGTTTTCATATTGAGCACAATTCTCTTTGGCATGCTGTTATTAGAAGTATGGTATTCAGGGAAATGGGTGGGAATACCCGGTCTCCATATAAATTCATTTCTCAAGGATTGTCTCATTTATTTTTCCATGTTTGTTTTAGTGTGGGAAATGGGATACTGTGGGTTACAATGCTTGAAAGTCTATCGATGGATTATATCCTAATATCCTCGGAAAATCCTAACTAATAAGAAAATCTCTATGATGCTTCCATTGTTGTTGTGTCCTTACAGTTCAGAGTTAATATGTCGCCACATAAGTGATTTCCAATGGCAGTGTTACCTCCTATTGAAGATAACCTTATAGTCTAGGAAATCTTCCGTCATGTATATGATTTCTAATGTTTGAGGTCTAATAAGCATGAACACTTGACATGTGCTAGACATGAACAAGTGTTGAACACTACGCAATACGTGTTGTATACTCGTCCAAATGTGTCCTCGTATTATTGTTATTATTATTTTTATTTTTATTTTTTAGACCTGGATATGCTTTAGGCATTTGGGGGACACATCTGTCCATCGCTGGAACACACTTGTCCATTAACTATAAGTTTGAAAAACTTTTCAACTATCACAAATTATTCCATTAACTGCAGATCGGGAACAGGAAAAGGAAAATTCAAAGAACACAATTGTTGCAAAAATTGGGATTTTAGTAGGAAATAAAAATTGAGATCCAAGGATAAAAGAAAGACAATGCAGATCCATCCTACATTATCCCCCCATGTGCAATGTCCATGCATTTTTAAAAAATTGTCGTGTCAGTGCCATGTTTGTGTCGCATGTTGTGCCATACTTTTTAGGTTGAGATGTCTCCCATTGAATCAGACTTTAGTGGTCGAGGTAATCTCTTGTTTCATATATAACTTCAATAGCCAAGCTACTTTCCATTCATGCAAGGTATTTGACTTGCTATTATCAAGGAGGCTCTACCTTCACGATATGCACTCGCGGTAAAATGTTGGTGAGCCCCCCTTGTGCATAACTGGCATCTTAGTTGTAGGATCCACCTAATGGCAGTGACAAATCTGCTCCAGAAGCGTGATTCTGTGATTACATGCAAGATTTTATTTCCAATCGCGTTCCCATCAAGCAAGAATCTCATTCCCAATTGGGATGGAATCTATCGAACATATTAATCCTAAAAAGAAAAGAAAAGCTACTAAACAAAAGAAAATATGTTGCAACCATCATAGTATAAGAAAAATTAACTCAAATTTGATGAACACGTGGATGTTAGGCACGAGCATCTCACATTGACTCAACTCTCCTCCCCAAGTGTGGGTGCCTCACCTAGGCGAACCCAACCGCTCAGTGCTTCGCTCACATCCATCTCATCCTCTCAGTGGCTTGTCTCAACGTTACGCACTCAATGGCTCTCTTGCCCTTCCAAGACTTCATACTTGCACTCTGATGCCATAGCTTGCCTAGGTCGATCACATGATTTAGGAAAATTGAGGTTTGTGCCTTGGCTATTGACCCATTATCTTGGATGGGATCGTCAGAGACTTGTGGTTTGGTAATTGGAGCTCAAGGATTGGCAAAGTTTGTTAGCGCTCTTTTAGGGTGGCTTCACTTTTTCTAGTATTAAACAAGAGAGAGGCAGACTTTGACCACAGACACACGTGTGACATACCTCATGGGGGTGTATCATACCTACCAAATGTTACTTACGATCCCCAAAGTTCGTGCATAGGACACTGTGCAAAGCCCAACCCTCCTATAAATGGAAGCCTCCTTGCTAAACAAAAATTATTTTGAGCTACTAAATATTACAGAATGTGTTCTTTCGCTACGAAGGCTGTCTTAGACTTTTAGTTCTCTCCCTCTCCCTTTCTTGTGGTTTGGCACTATCTTAGTGCCTATCATGATTCCCATAGAGCCCATGGCCTACCCACATCACCAATGACCACCCAAAACTCTAGAATTGTAGGATTTATACAATTTCTCATATATGTCACAATACCATAATGTGAACCACTCCACTCCACCAACCAATGTTTGTGAGTAGCCATTGAAATAAAATATATGTATTGTCCAACCAATGCATTCTAGTTGCATTCCATTGATTACTATCTCACCACCTTTTAGTCACAACACATTCTAATAAACCCTTTGCAAAAAAATAAAAAATGCCTAGTCCTAAATTCACTTATACAGTGAGCTAACTTAGTGGGACAATATACTTTGTTTTTACATAAATGGTGAATGCCATCTTGAAAAGAATGTTTGCATAGCCCCAACATACAGCACCCAAGATATTGAGTTGATGGCCAAGTAAAGTCTCAGTCATTGGTAAGTCAAAGTTACTGAGCCTAGGAACTTGAGTCATTCTTTTTTTTCTTGATTAGGGGGACATTGCATTGGACACTAAAGATTCACACAGAAGTTGATTGTAGTTTTAATATGGTGTGATTCTTGGAGTGATCCTTTGGTATATCACAAATATGCCAACATATTAATATGAGGTCTTGCACTTTAATGGTTGAGATAGACCATCCTACCATATAGAGGTGAGTCATATTGTCATTATAGATGGCCCATTTCTATGAGCAACTATGAACAATTTAATTTTACAAGGTTAACGATTTACATTTTCTATAAGTGAATCTTATCTACATAATCTATATTCAATGTAGCTTAGGGAGTAAACCATTCAGCTCATAAATAATTTCCAGTTGTATGAATAGGATAAATTGTAGAGTAAGGAAATGACATTTTATTTCTGTTGAAAAAATAAAATCCATTGGTTTGAATGCATAGATGCCAATTGCCAACATATGTGTTAATGGTATTTTTATGCGGTTTTTTATGTTTTTGTTCTTTCAAAGTTAAGCGAGTCCAGAAACTGTACATGTTTTCCTATGTTTGATATTTGTGTGGAACTTTTAGAACTAAATCTGGTTGCAAAAGTTAAAACTCCACATAAATTTGTGACACTACCTTTCTTGTTGTTTATCATGCCATTTGCTGTCCCCAATTGCCATTCGATTATTGTTTACAGAAGCTGAGAAAGTTGTTGGCTGGGCCAAAAATCATTATTTATCATCATGCCTCCTTCCATCAATAAAAGCAGAAAGATTGTGTGTGCCTCGTGGAAGGTATATACATATGTTCTTTACAATTGTATATATTTGATAATCATTTTTTCTATTTCACCTTAAAGTTAGTTGCTATTCTCTATCTTGTGAAGCCTTGAAATTGCAATTTTGAGGTTAAGGGAGCAAGAAACAATATCCAAGAAGCCATCGCAGAATCTAAAGGTGTGTATCTTTGCTTGTTCTAACCTCAAAATGCTATGAGGAGATCAATGACTTCCTTGCATGCTTGACATGTATGAACTTTGGCAGAATCTCGCGAAGGATGAGTATGAGAGCAACTTTGTTTCAGCGGTGGTTCCTCCTGGTGAAATTGGTGTCAAGTTTGATGATATTGGTGCCCTTGAAGAAGTGAAGAGGGCACTAAATGAACTTGTCATTCTCCCAATGAGGAGACCAGAGCTTTTCTTGCATGGGAATTTGTTGCGGGTATTTCATTGGTCTTTTTGTCTGTATTTACTTGATTTCAGATGGGCTATATTTTGTGCCTCTCCACTAATTTCTGGAAACTTTTGTCAGCCTTGCAAGGGGATATTACTTTTTGGGCCTCCTGGAACGGGGAAAACCCTTCTTGCTAAGGCACTTGCAACAGAAGCTGGAGCAAATTTTATCAGCATAACTGGCTCAACTCTAACATCAAAGGTGACCTTGGGACATTTTGCAAAGAAATAATGATAATAATAAATAGTAAAATTTAAGTTGGAACTTTGGGAAATGTTATGCATAGAAGAGGATGAGGATTCAACAATTCTTGTAAGGATATCAAACTATTTGTCAATTGAATATGAATTTTTCTCAAGTGCACCAATTGATTGCTTCATCCATCTTACTATGACTAGAAAAAACAGATGAGAAAGAATATAACATGATATTATAAAACCACCTTGCAATGGAGTCAAAAGATGATACCAAAAAAATCCTATTCCTTAAATGAAGTACGATGTCATACTACCTATATCATTTAAAAAGATATCATTTACAAACAGTATCAATTTAGTTCTAATTCATGAAACTAGAGTTGACATAAACATCAAACTAGAGTTGTTAAGAGATGCTTTAGACTTGCAATTTTAGCAAAACTAGAACTGGAATAAAGATAATGCAATTTGATGGACAAGAGATACCAATGTCACTATTTTTGATATACTGGGTCAATTATCCAAAAGGGAAGATTTGGGGTGATGCAACTCATAACAATAGGATGAATGAAATGGAAAGGTGCTTGAGAACTGGTGTGTGATCATAGAATTTCTAGTTAGTTCAAAGGAAAGTTCTATACGAGATTTACAAGGCCAACTCTGTTGTATGGTACAAGAAATGTGTTAAAAAAATGAGTTTTACTAAATTAAAATATTAAGATGGATGGGTGGTGTTGCAAGAAAAGTTTGAATCAGAAACGCATACCTTCGGTGAAGTTTGAAGTGGGACCAATTGAGAATAAAGCTATGAAAGATAATTTAGATAGTTTGGTCATGTACATGTAGACCAACTATAATATGCTTGTTAGAAGAATAGAAGATGTGATTTAAGAGCACTGCTGCAGACCCCCAGTAGGGGGTGACCCCCACCACCCCCACATACACGTGGGGGGTAAAGAGAGAAGGAAAAAAAAAAAAAAAAATTTGGACCAATCAGCACCCACTGGGGGTGCTGGGGGTCTCCCCCAGTGGGGGTCTCTCCCATTTTCCATGATTTAATTCAAGTAGAAGGCACTAAAAGGATAGGAGACAGGCTAAGAATGACTTGGGTTGAGGTGGTCAAACAAGACATTTTTGTCTAGATTTTAATTAAAGATATGATTTAGAATATAGCCAAGGGATATATGTAAATGGCTGTGAGTGAATAGGATTGACACTTGTTGAGTTGAATCGAGTACAATGAATGTTTAGATTGTGGGAGGTTTTTACACTTCATTTGTCAAAATTGGTAACAATTAACCGCATTTTTCTAGAAAAATGAAGAATGGTCAACATCCCAATATGTACTAGTCACTTACTGAAAGTGCACTTGTCAGACGTTGTAAATCGTATTATTTAATTTTGTATTATGTACTAGTCAAATCTATAAATTTATTAAAAGAAGGTTCATTTTGTTTAAAATGGTAATACATTTTCATAGAAGACATATATATTGGTGGGGTTCTTCCTAAATTTTTCTTTATGTTGTTTCGTTTGTTGTAAATAGTAGAACATTTTAGATTTGATTTACCACACCTTTTATTTTAACAAACACCATTTATCCAATTGAGCTAGCAATGATGGGAAATTTGTCCTTTATTTTCTTTTGAGAAATTTTAATCTCTGAAATTCTGTGTTGTTTGATATTAGGGAACATACGATAGTGGTAGATGCTCTTACCCTAGACCTTTTTTTCCCCTCTAGACGGTGACAATGGCCAAACAATAATTTGCAGTTGAAGTGTTTATTTTTAAATGACTTGATTTGCTTAGTTGGTTGTATTATTTAATTTGTCTAAACATTTAATTGCATAATTGCATGACTGCTTTTAATTGTTTAATTTGAATTTACTTAATTTGAAGTTGATAATGTGGTCCAAGTTATTAAGCACAATGTAATGTAAAAATACAGTGTTTCATTATTTAGCACATGATAGATAAAACATACAATAAATCTGTCGTACTCATAAAAAAAAAAAAAAAAATTATGCAATATCTATAACTTGCGCTTCACTTTGATTGCGCCTCATGCCTACACCCCATGAGACCTTGGTGCCTCGGGGGGACCTCGACTCAAATAACTCTGGTGTGCAGAAACAAGTTTCAGTAGTATGACATTTACAATACCCGCTATTTGAACATACTTTCTGTTTCTTGTTAGATGTTAGAATTCTGTGATTATTAGCGCTATTGTCAGGTGAGCTAAGACCTTTTTCATTGGAGGCTCCTGTTGCCGTGGCAGCACTGCTGCTTCTGGACGAAATTGATACTGCTAATATGTTGGGATAATCATTTTCCCAAGGCAAAGTACAGTGTCTTAAATTTTAGGCTTTGACGGCACTTGAGTTCATCTTTTCTAATTTGGTCCATTTTATGTTATTTATCTGCTCTTTTTCAGTTCAACAAAGCTTCACCACATATATTGCTGTGCTCAGCTGCTAATATACTTTTTTACTTTTTTTTTTTTGTTATGTAGTGGTTTGGAGATGCTGAAAAGCTTACAAAAGCCCTCTTCTCCTTTGCTAGCAAGCTGTCTCCTGTAATTGTTTTTGTCGATGAGGTGAGACGTCCTTTTATGGCATTAACTACTGCATAAAGGCCTCTCTGCTATTTTGCGTCAAATATCAGTATCTGGCCAAAACAAATAATTCACCACACAAGCAAAAGTGTGCCACTGTGGCGGCCCACTATACAATCCAAAGTCTTAATTAGCAAAATACCTCACTCTTGAGAAGCTAGAAAACAAAAATAAGCTAAACCAGCAGCAAAATATCCTCTAGAAACATAAAAGCAGACCAAATTACACTAACTGCATTAGACAAAGTCCAAATCAAGTTCCATATGGAATTCTTAAAATTCATCTATCGTACTCAGCATCATTGCGTATTGATTATTTACTTTATATGTCATGTGACTTTCACTTTCCTAGCAGGTTTGGAGACAGCGAGGCTGTTTGATAAACTGAAACTAGGTGCTGAAAATTTTGAGTACTGATTTTTTAAAATAAGTAAATTTTAATTTTAAGTAAAACTGGGTGAAATTTTAAGATTTGAGCACTTAATGGAAATATAAAACATCCCCATTCCCCATATACTTTAAAGGAAATGATGCTTAGTCTGATTCAGAAACTTTCTTTTTCATTATTCAACTGCTACTTTCACAAACTATACTACATATCATATCAGTCATGGACTCATGGCTGTTGCCGTGTTGTAATAATAATATCAGTGGTCTGGATTCAATTTTTGCTATAGGAAAACCATCTCTAGTTTAGTATGCATAAGGAGCCTTCTCATTTAGACTTCAGTTCCATTCGTATGGATTGACAGTTTGCTAGGTGTTTGGGGTGGTGCTGTTGAGCACAAGGTAGCTAGAAGCGAAAGGAGTTTATCGCCAACTATATAAAATCTTTTAACACAAACTGTATAATGTTTCTTTTTTAGGCAAATATGTCATAATATCAGTGGCCCACTCTTACTGCTTGCTATAGAACACTATGTCTCATTATGCATAAGGAGCTTTTTCATTTAGACTTCGGTTCTGTTTGGGTAGGTTGACAGTTTGCTTGGTGCTCGCGGTGGTTCTTTTGAGCACGAGGCAACTAGAAGAATGCGAAATGAGTTTATGGCAGCTTGGGATGGATTGAGGTCAAAAGACAGCCAGAGAATCCTCATCCTTGGTGCCACAAATCGGCCGTTCGACCTTGATGATGCTGTCATTCGTCGTTTACCTAGAAGGTAAGTTTGGGTTAACCTGAGTTGTTTTTTCTCCTCTTACTGCCTTGACCACATATTTGCTTGAAACATTTTTTATGGAATATTGTTTTTGTTACTTTTGCAAACCTGGTCTCTGTGTCCTGCCAGTGAGCCATGCATGCTTTTTCTGCATACACTGTTCTTCAGTTCCCCAACTATTCTTTTTACTGTATACATCGATTGGTTTTCAGGATATATGTGGATCTACCAGATGCTGAAAATCGTGTAAAGATACTTAGAATATTTCTTGCTAAAGAAAACTTAGAACCTGAATTTCAGTTTGAAAAGCTTGCAAATGCAACTGAAGGATATTCAGGAAGTGATTTGAAGGTAATGTCTTCAATGTTTAATGACTGATTGGATCTGTTGTTGTAATTCTCATACTTCTTCTGTGTTTTGCAGAACCTTTGTATTGCTGCGGCATATAGACCTGTCCAAGAACTTCTAGAGGAAGAAAAAAAGGTAACCTTCTTTGAATTTAGATGTCATTGTCTTTCCTCTATAAAGTTTGAATTGTCCAAACCTAGCTGCGCTTTGCATATTTCCTAGGATAGAATTGCCTATAGCTATCTAATAAGTTGCTTTTCTTCTTTGATGGATATGTTAATATTGTATGTTAGGATTCTGTTTGAATCATGAGTCTCTGAGATGCATATTGCTTTATTGACTTGTGTCCAAATGAATTACCGACATGTGGCTGTACTCCCTCCTCTCTTCAGCTTCTAGCACCATGTCATTATAAATAGCACTCTTCCAGGAATCATGCAGAGGTGGTGAGCTTGATCATTCGAGTAGGTTGATTGTTGCAATCATTCTTTTTCAGTTTATTCCTTCATGAGTAAAATTATTCTATAGAGTGCCAGAGAGGGTACAATCCAAGGGCGCTAGTAATATACAAGAGAGACTCCCCACATAGGTCTACAACCTACCTAGTGTTCATATATCCCTAGAAGGCAATGAAAGTTTGTAGTAGATACAAAACTCTTCTTGAAAAGCTATTGATACAAAGCACTGATAGTCTTATCTATGGGAAGGGTGGAAAATAATAGGGGGTAGGAAGAGGGAATATGGTTGGACAGAAGTTTTCGTTGTTTGGCAGGAAGGAAATTGAAAGCAAACGAATGTACTTTTTCTCTGGGCCCATCCAATATTTTCACCTAAAAGGAGGGGGAAATGGCATGTCTGTTTTTCACTCGTTGCTCTTCACATCCTTCTTTTAATGTGCAAGGGCGTAATGATAAAATCAAGCTAAACTCATTTGCTTCCTTCCTCCTCTCCTTTATACCAATCAATCAAACAAAAAGAGGACGTATGATTTCTATCTTCCTTTCTCTTGAATTTCCTTTCCATAGTATAAAATGAACTATAGGCATAGCCAAAATTCCATCCCCTCAAAATAAGCACATTGGCATTTTTTATTTATTTGATTTTTTATCTTTTCTCTTTCTTTCTGTAATCTTGACTATAATTTATGTTGTTTTTTACTATTAGCACTCTTTTTTACTCACACTATCTCTCTAATTGATGGTGGCTTTTATCTTGTTGACTGCAACTGTGTTTTCTTTTTTTCTTTTTCTTTTTCAAATACAGGTGGATAAAAATGATATGGTGCCAGTATTAAGACCACTCAATTTGGATGATTTCATTGAGTCAAAAGCCAAGGTAAACTTTATTTTTTGATTCAGATATATATGAGGGACCAAGTGGTCATAATATTTCGATTGTCTCTATGGTCTCCTCTAATTTTATTTCGTTTTCATGGAGTTTTCAATCTTTTACAAATCAGAATGATTATGAGTTCAATGAATTTATTTTCTTGTTATTTATCCTTGAGAGTGTTTCCTTATCCAATGCATCTATTGATTAAAGGGTATGGACTCTTCATTGAGCCGAGGGTATTCTCTTTCAAGTCATTTTTTAATAAAAAGCATTGATGACCCAAATGTACCATTCTTCGTCCCTCACAAGTTGATTTGGAGGTTAAGGTGTTCGTGTGGACCATGTGATGCAAAACAGTGCAAAGCAGAGAAAAGAAGTAGAAACCTTGGTCTTCAACACCTTAGGGGCTTCAGTACCAAACATAATAGAAAACTTTAGATTTTTGTTAATTTGTTTGGAAAATCTTTCCCATCTGGTAGTGTTAGGAGTCTTTGAATATCCTCCAATTTTGTCAAATAAAAGACATCAAACTTGGAACTCAAATTTATCATAATCTCAACTAGAATTTTAATCAAATAAGTAACAGCTCCATCTGGGTCTCTATCAGTTAGCCCAACAAATAACATCATCGCCCAACTAAAATATCATCGGGGGCCATCCTCTTTTGTCGATGTCCAGAAACTCGTGTGATTTGAGGCCTGGTGTCCGCAAAACCATGACTCACAAGAGACTTAGGCCAAGTTTGGCAACCCAAAAATAATCCATCTTTTTATCTTTTTATCTTTTTTCCATCATATCACCTCTCTACTTTTTTGCACATCTCTTCGTAAAAAGACAAAAAATGCACTTATTTAGGTCATCCCAAACAACCCCTTAATACCAATTACATAGTCAAGGGAATTCTTTTATTTTTTTATTTCTAGAGATTGGGAAGCTATATGTAGCTTGTAATGTTTCATATATATATAGGTATGTATATATATTTTTTATTATTATTACATGGGCTTCTTGCCTCATGTACATTTTGTAGTCTTTTGTATATATATATTTTTATATTTTTTTCTCATTGTCAATCAAAAGAAATATATATTAAGAAAGAGGATTTTGATAGAGCGAGTTTGAGGGAGATTACTGAAGATTAAGTTCATAACACAATGGCAATAGTAGCAAGAAAGAGGCCTTGTCCTTTCTGTGGGTCATATTAGACGTTCCCAGCTGAAGGTAGACAATTGTGGGCTCAGTCGTTTGGCTTGTTATTTACATTCCTCACCTCAACCATTTAGCTACATCTTGGGGCTCAAATCCAATCTCATAGCTGCATATTCTTTATTGTTTGATATCTACATATTTCATTTAGACTTCAGAGTTATGCTATACAAACAAGGAATTTTAAGGTAATGATGTGACAGATTTGGGTCTTATCATTTTAAATTAATAGACCAATCAAGCTGGTTTGTAATTACAAAAATGCCATTGCCATATTATTTTGATCGAAATATTCTGTATAAAAATTATTTAAGATTATATTGCCATATCGTTCAGATCGCTTCTTACTATTATTTTGCAATCACGTTATTGATCATTGTAATTAATATTTGCTAACTATTATTAATGTGTTTTTCATTTAAAAAAAAATTAAAATAGAAAAAGTCATATTTTTTTTTTTTTTTTTTTTCCTTCGTAAATGTCAAATTGATGTTTGGTTATCTTGTATATAGGTGGGGGCATCAGTTGCATATGATGCAACAAGCATGAATGAGCTGAGGAAATGGAATGACCAGTACGGAGAAGGTGGAAGTAGGAGAACGTCACCATTCGGTTTTTGAAACAAACTCGATGGATTATTACTTTTCAAATTTTTATTCTTTGGACAGCATACAATCCGGGATGTGTATTCCTTCCGAAAAGGAATTTCTCTTCTCATCCAATTTTTGTATTAGTGAGAGATTAGGTGTTCTCTTATAATGTCAAGTAATGTTGTTGGTCCTAGGAGATGTAAAATAATGGGTAATATGCCAATGTAAGTGGCAAGTTAATTTATTTTATAGTGAGCTATTTTCGTGCTCTTGATCATTAAACCTCATTTACAGAGATTTCTTGAAAGAACCATTGTCTTGTTTGTTTAGGTGGAAATATTTTGCAACCTGCCTGATTGGTTTTTCCATGCCTGGTTTCATTGGATTTTCTATGATCCAGATTGTAGAAAAGAGTCATACAGGAGTAAGTAAAATGTCATAATACCTTTAGGCCATGTTTGTTTGGATGGATATGAGTTTGGGATTGGACTAATAGTCCAATAAAATTATTAATCCGATATTTGGTTAAACAATTAAAGTACGGACTAATTATTTTAAACTTGACTATTAGTTAAGATGGGATATAAAATCCAATGAATTCGTAGTCTTAGGACTATTAGTCATGGGAATGCTAATCCAGTCCGTCCAAACAAACATGACCTTAGGCTATGATGATTTGGATGGAGATTTGAAAAGACCGAGAGGGAAAGTGTGAAATGTAGGCAAAATGTAAATATATTTTCATCCTCTAATTGAGAGTGTTGGGTTAGAGATTAGCGACTTTTTGCCTTGACAATACACCAATTTTCCATTGTTTCTCTCTCCTCTCGCTCTCACTTTGATCTCTTTTCACTTTTTTTTCTCTCTCTCTCTCTAACGTCTTCTTACTCTCCTCTAGCTCATTGTGTGTGAACCTATCACCACTATCCATGTTTGCCACCGATGAACTCGTCATTAGTACCATTCGTAGTCACCATGGCTCTATCATCATAGCCTGTGGTGATGTAGAGAATTGGTAATGTAGAGAATTATGAATGGTGTCGACTGTGGAAGGGCGGTGATGGTGGTGGATTTGAAGTTGCCAGCTTTCCCTTATTTGACTATTAAAACATAATTAGAAATTCCTAATACAAGCATTTAAGGGTTGTTTGGGATGATTTAAATAAGTGAATTTTTAATTTTTTTATGAAAAAATATACAGAAAAAATAGAGATATGATATGGTTCAAAAAAATAAAAAGATAAATAAGTGCATTTTTTTAGGTATAGCCAAACAATCCCTTAATAATTTTCAATATACCAAATATCCTTGTTAGGGGGTTAAGTAACAAAATAAAGGGTAAATTACACTAATTTTTTTGATATTTGAAAAAAAAAAAAAGTTTTACAGTTTTGATATAATTATTCATCTCATTTTTGATGAGATTAAATGAGCCAAAACTAATGAAGATATATTGTGAAAATACAAAAAAATAAACAATTGAATATATATTTTTGTGTAAAAGAGATGGAAGGATCATTTTTTTTTTCTTTATATAACTAACAAAATATTGATGAAAATAAGATAAATATTACATGAAGTAAAATATCGCGAAAACTCAATGTAATTATATCAAAATTATGAACTTATTGTATTTTTTTTTAATAAATTTTAAAGGAGATCAATGTAATTTATCTTAAAATAAAACATCAAACACCCAAAAAGCACCTATCATGCTCCATGGAAACAATTAAATAAGTCAATTTTTTAAAAAATCTTTTTTTTTGTCTTTACTAATTAAAAAAAATTATATAAAAATCTTAAAAAGAATCTAAGAACTTTTTTTTTTTTTTTTTTTGGTGATGAAATCCAAAAACAATTCTCCAAAGAAAAAAAAAAAACAAACTTTAAAACCAATTTTCTTTTCCTTTTTTAAATAGTTTTTTTGAAAAATATTTTATATTTTATTTAAGGCTGCAAAACTTAAAAGTGAAATTTTTAAAAGAAAATTAGTGAAAAATCCATTTCAAAGGATTATAAGGCATTAGATCTAAGGTACATTCTTATTTGGCGATATGAACATGTTGAAAAAGTTGCCAAAAAATTGACCGGAAAAATCACTAGAAAAGTCGTTGACGATGGTGACTGGCGGATACTGCAGCAAGGGGTGGTGGTAAGGTTGAAAAATGTGTAATATTCAACAGATAGAGTGTTTAATGAGTGACATTATTACATTTTTACAGATTGTTAATTTGATGAATTTCAACGAATAGATAGATTGATTGATTTCAACATATAATTATCCTTTTTGTTCAAAAGAAAATATATATACATATATAGTTGTCCTTTTGGACAAATTGTGCCCTATTGGTCCAAAGATATTAGAGTTTGGGCCTAATGGCCCGGAAAATTCAGAAATAGACTTATGGCCTGAAGTAGCAATTTTAAAATATTTTTTTTTTAATAAAAACAATGCTAAAAATTGAAGGAAAAAAAAAATACTAAATAACAATTCCCAAGCCAAGTCTTGAAAAAAAAAAAGGAAAATTAAAAACACATCCTTAAAGTTTGCTTAAAATACAAATTATTCTCTATAATTTTAGAAATTACATCTCGCTCTTTTTATTAATAAATTAAATTAATTAACAGTTTTTAATGATATTAAAAATTTATTTTAATTACTAATTCAAATAATTTTATTATTAGATAAGAGAATAATTAAAAAAAATATTTTTTCAATTGTGTTAAATAAAATTTTGCAAAATTACATTAAAAAAACTCCAAATTTTCATGCGTTTTACAATTTTAATAACTTAAACTCCAGACTTTAAACTCGTGTACATACAACAAGAAATTAATAATAAAATAAAATAATAAAAAATAGTCACCCAAAAACAAGAGCTGCAATTGGGGACTGGGAGAACATACAAAACTATCCATTGTCCAAAACCGAAACCCTCTTCGATGTTTATGTTCGAATTTCGAAAGCTAATAACCATGAATTATATAAACAAAAACCTAAAAACACAAATAATATGTGTATATGTGTTTGAATATATATATATATATATATATATCATAATCAAATAGTAGAATACCAAAACACAAATCCATTCTTCACTTTGTCCCTATTCAAAACCAAACTTGGACACAAAATCATAAAAATAAAAGAATAAATTCAAGTAAATAGAGACTCAACATATACATGCACATATGAGTCTTATATGAATTTGAAGTCATATATGCTGATTAAATTTAGGATAAATTACAAATACACTCTTTGAGATTTGATTAAAATATAAATCATTCCTTGTGGCTTTAAAAATTACATTCCACCCTGAGGTTTCTAATGTCATAACAAATTGTACATTTTATTAATAAATCATCAAGTTAATTAACAGTTTTTAATGATGTTAAAAATATGTTTCAATTAATAATTTAGGTAATTTTATTATTGTATAGGAGAACAATTATGAATTTCATTTTTTTAGTTAATTCTGTTAACTAAAAAATTCTAATAAGGGAGTATTTGTAATTTTTCAAACTACAGAGAACAATCTGTATTTTAAACACATCTCAGGAGATGTATTTATAATTTACTTTTAAATATATAATCCAACAGTTACGCCAAATAAATTAACATTTTCTAATTACAGTTATAATTTATAATCTGTTAAATTGTAAATTATAATTTATTTTAACAGTTACACCAAATAGGATCATGATTTATCAAGAAGAGAATAAAAACGCCTAGCAGAGATGGAAGAGGCGTCGGTGTTGGCGCTGGCGGTGGTGTGAGTGTGGCAGAAAAGGAGAAAGCAACACTTTGTGGGGTGGGTGAACAGGGTAGATAGAGAAGATGGGCAGTAGGATTAAGGCCAAGTTTGGCATGTCTTGAAAAAGACAAAAAGTCACTATCCTATTTAAGTCACATCATCTTATTTAAGTCACATCACCTCTCTAATACATCACTTCAAACCCAACCCAAACCCAACTCATATTTCATAAAAAGTCAGAAAGTGCACTTATTTAGATCATCCCAAACAACCCCTAAGTGTGTGATAGTGTTAAGAATGGATGGTGGTGATTTGTTCAATGGTTGATGAATGATTGTGATGATTTGGTGTGTTCATGTTTTATACTATTATTTTGAGAGATTTATTAGAAATTTTTTTTTGAAGTATTTATATCTTAATTAGTTTATAAAATATTTTTATATTCTAATAAGTCATTTTATTTAAATATTTGATTTACTAAATTCTAATTCTCATATTTAAAATATTTTATAGACATTTCTACCTTTACATATATTTTTTGAACGGTTATCAATTTGGTGATGTGAACATTCATATTTTGTAATGTGAATATTCACATTGATATGTGAATGTTCATATTGATATGTTAACATTCACATTGATAGTGCGAACATTCATATTGAAGTTGTGAACATTTACATTAACGGTTTGAACATTCACCTCACGAAACATTCACATTGTAAATGCAAAAATTATTAAAGATATTTTGGTAACTATGTTACTCATAAGACTTATTGGAATATAAGAAAATAATGTGAATTAAATAAAACCTAAATAAATGAAAAGAGATTTATAAAAGGGAACCTCTAATATTTATAGGGTGTTTTGGCAACATGGTTTTTAGTCACTTTTTTAGGTTAGTAGCAAAAGCTAAAAGTTGGCTTTTTTTTTTCATTTGAGAAGTTGGTTTTTAGGCAATGGTGAAATTACAATTCTACCCTTTATGGGTCAAAATGTGTTACATGATTGAAGCTGTAAATATTTTAAATAAATGAGAGTAGTTTGGTCATTTTATTGTGATTTGATATCATAAACAAATATTAATAAAAAAAAAATCAAAAGCAACTTTTAACCAACTTCCTAAATCATTTGTCTAAAAAGGCCAAAAGCTTGGTTAAAAGTCAAAAAATCACTTTTTACCAACTTTCCAAAATAAGCCTATATCAATTTAAAAGGGTTAATGGCCCCGTTTGGTAGACTTGCAGGAAAGTGATTAACTTATAGCCTAACAACTTATAACTTATAACTGTGAATATAAGCTGATTTTTGACTTATAAATTAAGCTTCTCCTCCCCCACTCAAAGAATAAGTTAATTTTTTACTTACAAAAAGCTATAAGCTGTATTATTAAGCTGAACCAAATACATCAAAATAGTTTAAATTAAGCTAAAATCTTAAATAAGCTGAAAATAAACTCTACCAAATAAGGCCAATAAAAGGCTGCCACGTGTCTTGTAGGAAAACAGTTCTGTTAACTTCGGAATCAATACTTACCTAAAAGAACTTCAGAATCAAAGTTTGACGAATGATTTATATTGAAATTAATTTTAAAATATAGAATTTTAATGGGTAAAATTAAAATTTTCGAGTTTAATTTAACATGCAACTTCGATTTTTAAAAAAATGTTAGAAATTTAAAAGTTTTATCAAAAGTGATAGGATTCACATGTTGGGTGTCTCATACTCATAAAATATTTGATAAATTTTTTTGAGATCTCTAGTATTATTTTTTGAGTTTTATACTAAGCATGCGCATTAGTTTGTGAACAGCAAGGCAGAAAAAGTAGATTACTATCGCATCACCTGAGTTGGTCATTGGGTATAATGTATGGGGTATATAATACCACGAGATAACAAGTGTTCTGTTCGTGACAAGTAGTATCAGAGCCAACTTAAAAACACTGTGATGGGGACAGTACGTGAGACTTATGCTAAGCACTTTCATTGTGAGGTTTGGACCAAGAGTGGTGTCCGCACAAGACGATTTCTCATGGATAAGAGAACAGATAAGCATAAAAGTAAGTAGGGTAATGTCTATTGACGAGTGCATCAGGATTGACAGTGCATATGCATGTTACATACCAATTCATTAAAAATGTAAGTTTTATATCAAGTATCTTCCAAGCACGTTAATTTGTGAACAGTAAAACAAATAAGGTAGATTCCTATCACATTACTAAATTGTCCTTGAAACCGATTTAATGTGCAGGATGACAAGTGCCCTATTTTTTTTTTTTTTTTTAATTTGCCCTAAAATTTTTGAACAGCTATTTGTAATTTGCCAAACCGGGACTCCACCCTCTCCACCTGAGGTGGTGAACTAGAGCCGCCATAGCCACAGCTCTCTCCGGCACTCACCAAAGTTGAAAATTTTCAATGTCTTTGTTTCGAGTCTCTCGAGCTTCTCTTCGCCTGCGTAGGTTACATCAACCGCTCTCTCTCTCTCACTCCATCTCTCTCGAGCTTCTCTTCGCCTGCGTAGGTTACATCAACCGCTCTCTCTCTCTCACTCCATCTTCCATCCAATCTTCCCTTCTTCCCCTCCCATCTCAATCCCTAACCCTAACCCTAACCATGATGTCTTTGACTCTCCAATCAAACCTCCCTACACTCGCATTTCCAGCTCCGAAATTTTCCGGGAAAGTTTCAAATTCATGTTCAAGTTCGAATTCATCGACTTGAATTCAAGAAGCATACCAGGTCAGTACGCCTTTATCTCCACATCGTCTGGCGTAGCAGAAAAGAAGGAGGGTCCGAAGGATAATGGTGCCAATGTGGCGTCTTGGATTGATTTGTACCTGCCGGAGCAAGCTCGGCCGTATGCTCGCCTTGCTCGGTTGGATAAGCCAATTGGGACTTGGTTACTTGCTTGGCCTTGCTTCTGGTATGATTTTTTAATTTCACCGGTAGTCCCTATATTTTATTGGGCAAATTTCACCTGTGTTGAGAGTTTTTGTTTATCAATTTTGATCCTTAATTTTACATTTCGTGTCAATTTGTTCCCATTGATAATATCGTTAGCATTTTTAATGGAAAAATTATCACTAAAATGATTAAGGTTAACTCACTAAATTGAGCTAGTTTATAATTTTTACACATATGTGCTTATTTTCCATTGAAAAATGCTATCAATTGGACTAAATTAAGACAAAGTCATAAATTCAAGGTCAAAATTGAACCAATTGAAATCACAGGTACCAAAATGACAGAAGGACCAAAATGTAGGGACTATCGGCGTAACTTGCCCGATTTTATTTGTATTTTTAGGTAGTTTTTTGCTTAAAATAAGTTTGGGTTCGTTTTTTACTTTAGCATTTTTTTATTGTCTTTTTTACACTCCATTTGGATCATAGGTTGAGCAAAGAAAAAAACATGATTGTGTTTTCTCACTATTATGTTTGGATGAATAATAAGTAAATCTAGGATATGAGATTTTTATTGCGTAAATTACATCAGTCCCCCTAGTTTGAGTAAAATTTCAATGGTTTTAATTTGAATAATTTGATCATTACGTTTTCAATTTTGTTGCAATGTGGTCTTTTCGTTATACGTTCTTAACATTTTGAATAGAAAAAAATCACGTGCAAAACTAGATTAGTTTGTTTTGAATTCACTTTAGTTCCTCTAGTTTTACCCATGCTTGTTTTACATTCCAAATTCTAAGAATAAGTGATAGAGGGACCGCATTGCAACAAAATTGAAAGTATAGGGATCAATTTATTCAAATTGAAATTAAAGGGCCTAAAGTGACACTTCACTTAGACTATAAGGACTAGTGTAATTTACTCATCCTTATTCTTCCTTTGTATTTTAAGGGACAATATTGGTATTATAAATATTTTACAACCAATCAATTTGTTTTTCACCAAGTCTCACCACTTTTGGGGAGAAATGAAATAGGCTTAGTAAGAGAGTTCTCTTTCTCACCATTTGTCACAACTTATAAACCAAACATGAGAAAAGAGATCTGTTTCTCACCATTTTCTCACCAAATCAACCCATCCAAACGGAGATTTTGCTTGGAGAAGAATTTGATGTGGGCTAATTTATATTTGGTCTTTCTCTATTATTAATTAGTTATATCAACAGGTGTTGACAAGGTTAATGATCAATATTATCGAGACTAAATTAACTCAGGAAAATCAGCTTCAATAAGTTCACTATGAAAGCATGAAACTTAACCACTTGATTGCCAATTATTTGGAAAATTTGACTATGTATTTGTTTCTCTCTTTTGATTTTGTTCATAAATTCGGCTCTTTGACCTTTCTATTTAAGTTGACATTTGATATGTGAGAAAGTGCCAACTTGAAATAATTAGAAATAGCTAGTTTAAGAGATACAAAATTGATCAGTTTTCCAGTACGAACTTCAATTTATGAGAACTTTTTTCTATGAGCAGTTTCTTAGTCAATTATGCAGAGACCTTGTGAGCTACCTATCAAATGAGTACCCCTGATTTGATGTCTTTTAGCTACACTAAGAATTTTTCCATAAGGCCTTATACTCGTTTGACTCCTTTACATAGTATCCCTGCTGTTGCGAAGTTTTTTTTTCTTTTTGTTTTTTTTTTTCTTTTCTCCTTTTTGGCATCATCATTTATATCCAATTACAATTGGAAAAAGTTAACGGTTAGCAAAGGTGTTATGTGTCCCAAGTTAGCTTCTGATCCTCACATGAACAGGAACCCATGTGCCTATGGGGAGATAATTTTTGCTGTATTTTCAAGCTGATGCAGGCAGAAGGGCTCCCTGTTACTTAAAATCTATTGCAAACTAATAAAACTTAATATAAATTGAACTGATAGGAATTTGTTTGTGGTGCTCATGAATAATGTTCAAGTATACGCTATGTCTAACATATAGAAATTTAGATATTCAGGAATCACAAGAGTCACTTACCATATTGTTGTATTGTGGCTGAGAGTTTTTATTTTTAAACTTTCATGAACTTTTTATCCATGCTTAGTTTTTGAAGAAGTTAATTTCTTTCATGTATAAAATTATTTCCTTATATGATTTTGCGTTTATATACGATGAGTGGTTTTGTAACTTCTGTCAAATCTCTTATTAAACTTTGAGTAGGGCAATGATTGGGATAAGTATAGTAATGAGATTTGTAGGACAATATACTCCCCTTCCACTTTTCTGCAACTCATATTTATTATTGTAGGTCAATTACTTTGGCAGCACCTACTGGGAACCTTCCTGATATTAAAATGTTGGCACTATTTGGTTGTGGGGCTTTGCTTTTAAGAGGTGCTGGATGCACCATTAATGATCTCATTGACCGTGATATTGATACGAAGGTACTTTCTGAGCTTTTTGTTTCCTAAGTAAATAAAATCTAATTTCCTCTGTGCTGTGGGAGTAGATTATCCATTTGTTTATATTTTATGCTTTCCTGAACATTTGCTAAATCATGTTTATAATTTGTAATAAGTCTCAATTTTTTAATGGGTTATACAAAAAGTAGATATGATTTTTGAAAAAAGGTTTGGAACTTTAAATGGTAAATGTAATATGGAAAAACATTTTGTGTTCTTCAGTTAATTTATGTTCTTTTTCTATTTGTAAATGTCATAACCATATCATGCCTATTGTGTAATAATTCCTTTTGTTGTTTTTAATGTCATGGCAGAGATGATTTTTCTCTCCACTCCTACATAATCATATCATTACTGTTCTAAATTTCGAGAAATATTATTTATTTATTTATTTTCCTTCAAAAAATGATTTTTCTTCTGTTTGAATGTAATGTTTAGAAACTTACTGTGCAGGTAGAACGGACGAAGTTGAGACCAGTTGCAAGTGGTGTTTTGACACCATTTCAAGGGCTTTGTTTTCTCGGGTTTCAATTGCTCTTGGGACTTGGCATTCTCCTTCAACTTAATAACTATAGGTGTGTTATCTCTCTCTCTCTCTCTATGCGTGTGTGTGTGTGTGTTGTTGTTTGCAAGTACACTCATATTAATCACGCTACTGGAATTTATTAAGATACTTAATCACTCAAATTAGAAGTCTAAGTGTATGTCATAATCAATTAATCATCAAGAAAAACTGATTAACGGGTCCTTTAGTTGAATGTATGCTTGGTCACTTCATCCGTAGAAGAGATAGAATAGAAATGACATTGATGAAATATTTGTGTTAGTTTCCTGGATGAATCAATTGTCACACATGACATGAAGTTCTATTGTGTACGTGTAACTTTTGCTTTCTTTTGCACTTCTATCAGGTAGTTGGATCCTTAGTTCTTTTAATGATAAAATTTTTTATTTGGTCATCAAAGTAATGGGCTACGAAGCACGGACACCTCTCCGGAGGCAACATATGGGTGTCCGACACGTGTTAGACACGGACACATGTCGGACACGCAGTGGACACGTGTTAGACACTCTACCTGGCTTGTCCCCCTTTTTCTTTTTGAATTTCTTCAGCCGGACACGCTTGGGACGCTCTTGGACATGTCACACGTTGGAGACAAAGAGAGAGAAAACCTAACCCATAGATAGAGAAACAGAGAGACAGAGAGAAAGAGAAAGGGTGAAGAAGAACTTGTTGAAGCCCTAGATCTGAGGTATGCTCTTCTTTTCTTTATTTCTTCTTCGTTCTTTTCTTCTGCATTTTTCTTCTTCTTTTGTCGTCGATTCTTTTGTCCGTGTGTGTGTGTGTGTGTGTGTGTATGTCACGCTCCCTCGCTATGGTGTTCAACTCTCTCTTTCACTTTTTCTGTGTTCAACTCACTCTCTCTCTCTCTCTCTCTGTGATCGACTCATCTTCTTTGTTCGACTCTCTCCCCGACTTTCTCTGTGTGTTGACTCACCCTCTTATCTCTCTTCATTTCTTTTTTTTTTTTCCTTTTTTTTCTATTTTGTTTGGATATTAAAAGTGAAAATAATTATTTTTATTGATAAAAAAAATAAATTTGTGAATGAAATTTGATGTTAAATTAAATAAATAAATAATCAGCTTGTTTGGTTTTGGTTTTCAGAAAATTTTACTTTTTTATTTTTCGTATTTTAAAGTTTTCAATGAATTTTTTTAATATTTTAAGCAAATTTTTATTTAGACACGCTTAATATAAATACATTTAAAAAGTATAATATTTGTGAAAAAAATCGTTAAAAATACACTAAATACCAAAAAATACAAAAAAAAAAGAAAGAAAATCCAGTACATTTATCTTATTTTTGTGTATTTATTAATTTTTTAAAATATTTGTTCACAGATATTTTACTATTTAGATACATCTAAGTAAGGTGCATCTAAAAAAGTAAAAAAAATTGCTTACAAATTAAAAACTATTCACCAAAAACAAAAAAAACGCGAAAAACAAAAAATTCAATTTTCAGAAAACTAAAACCAAACACACTGAATATTTTTTTTAGGTGGATAATTTTTTTTTTAAAATATATTTTATTTATAAATAATATATACAATTTTATTTATATAAATAATATTTTTTTAATTTTACATATAATAAATAAATAAAATTATATATATTGAGCGTGTCTCCAGTGTGCCGTGTCCCTTATTTTTTGAAAATTTACGTGTTCATGTGTCCGTGTTGTGTCCCGTGTCTGTGCATCATAGGTAATGGGGAAGTGGAGACTAATTATGATAATGAGACCAATTATCATTCATTGAACTCTCTCTCTATCAAAAGTTAATCAAATATCAAGTAAGCTATATCAAGAAAATATACCTATTGAAAGCTTCCTATCGTGCTTGTTAACTACTAACTTGTCAAAATTCTGTACTTAATGTTCCCTTTGGAGATATCTAGAAGATTGCTCAATGATGTCTCTGATTGTAAGATTCCTCTTTTCCATGCAATTATTGTATAGACATGTGTGCATGCACACACAAAATGAAAAAATAAAAAATTGCCACATCTAGTTCTTAAGCATGGTTGAATCAACTCAAATTGGGTAATTGTTTGAAAATAATTTGGTGTACTGGTGTACATGCTTTCCAACAGCCGTCTTCTAGGGGCTTCTTCCTTGCTGCTGGTCTTCTCTTATCCACTCATGAAGAGGTTGACATTTTGGGTAATGTGTATAAATATGCGTTAGTTAATGTTCTGTTTTTCTTAATTTTTTATGAAAAAAGTGAAATTTGACTGATATATCTGTCAAATGAAACTTCATTGCCGCAGCCTCAAGCCTTTTTAGGCTTAACCTTCAACTGGGGAGCATTATTAGGATGGTCTGCAATTAAAGGAAGTCTTGATCCTGCTGTTGTCTTCCCACTTTACATTTCTGGGGTGTTTTGGACACTTGTGTATGATACAATATATGCACATCAGGTAAATCATTGCCAGTTGCATACTTGCCTAGTTTTTGGTAACTTCATGTAACCAAATAACCTACCTTACTCCTTTAAAATTTTACTCCATTTAAAATTCCAAGATTTAAACTCTGTTGCCTTTGTTTTTAAGATGGGCTGCTTTTATATATATATATATATATACTCCCTCCGTCCCGAAATATTGGTCCCTTTTGGGGAATCCAACTTTTTTTGGTAGTACACTTATTGCATTTGAAAAATTTTGGTTTTCCAAAATTACCCTTTTGATAGTACATTTTTTGGGAATATCAATGTCATAATTGTACTTTTTAAATTGTTTATTAATTTAAAAGAAGGGCAAAATAGGAAATTTACATTATTTTTGTACTTGATTTATAAAGAGGGACTAATATTTTGGGACAATGAAAAATGGAATAAAGGACTAATATTTTGGGACGGAGGGAGTATATTTTTACATTTTCTTTTCACCCTTTTCTTTTGTGGGCATGCTTTATTAAATATCTCTCAAATGTTAGAATGTGAACACATACACAGTAGAGAGAGAAAGAGATTTAGATAAGGTTGTGTGCATGTGTACTTGTGCATGTATATATTTGGCTGTTTCATATACTTATGGTATGTGACCTGTGACTGTCTCAGATTTTCACCTATGTTGGGAGTCTCTTCTTGTCATCATAATCTATTGGTCATATTTCCATGTTTGAACTGGTTGTACAGGGTTATCTCAAGTACATTTTTATCTTTGTGTTAATTTTAATGCTCAATATCAATGCATTTGGATTTGTGAATTTCAACTCAATAGATGGCATTAATCATTTAAAGGTTTTTGCATACAATTAAAATATAGAACATTAGACTATTGAATAATGATTTGTTACTTATAAAAAAATTCAATAATGTTTTTAAAGCTTCATATGGGTGGATTTGAAATCGTTGAGAATATAAATAATTAAATCACCCCTTTATAATATAGCTTAATCTTTTATATGAGTTTGTGGTCAACAATTTAACATGATAGATGTTTGGATCAAATCTCACCACCTAATTGATAAATTATAATACTTCGACATGTTTGACCTGCTTATGGAGGAGAGCCTAACCAAATGTGAGTTGCACATTAAGAATATAATAAATAAATAAATTAATCATCTCTTTGTCAGGTTGATCTTTCAGATGATGTGGCAATCAACAATTTGAATTACCATTCTCTCTAACAACTTGAGTTTTCAGATGAGTTGGTGATCAACAATTTAATAGAAATAGCATTGTGACAATAGTTATTTGAAATCTTATTCTTAAGAAAACCTATCTTCTATACTTACTCAATCCCTATGAAGCACGAACACGTCCCTGAGACTTGCGTATGAGTGTCGAACACGTGTCGGACACGGACACACGTCGGACACGTTGTGGACACGTGTCCGACACTCTCCCCTACATGTCCCCCTTTTTTTCAGAATTTTTCAGAGTCGGACACGAGGTTGGACACGCGGGGACACGATTCAGACACGCAGGTGGATCGAAGAAACTCTAGAACTGTTGGAGAGGAGAAAGAGAGAGAGCCAGAGCCAGAGCTAGAGACAGATCGAGGGGAGAGAGGGAGATAGATCGAGGGAAGAGAGAGACAGATCGAGGACAGAGAGAACAAGCCCTAACCTGTTCTTCTTCTCTCTTCTGCTTCTCTGTTCTTCTGCCTTCGTCTTCGTCTTCGCATCGTCTTCCTCTTCTGTCTTCTATCTTCTATCTTCTATCTTCTTTCGTCTCTCCTTCTATCTCCTTCTCTTTCTTCTCTTCCCTTCATCTGATTTCATTTCTCTCTCCACTCTACCCTTTTCTTTTTATTCTCTTTTTTTTTGTTTTTTCTTTTGTTTTATTATTTATTTTCATGTTTTTATTCAAATTTATAAAATAAATTATTTTTATTAAAAAAATTTAGGTAATATATTTATTAATTTTATTATTATTGTAATTTTATAAGAATTAATATTTTTTTTAATTTTAGATATAAAATAAATAAATAAATAAAACTATATATATTAAACGTGTCCCCAACGTGTCGTGTCCCCTATTTTTTGAAAATTTGCGTATTTACGTGTCCCGTGTCCGTGTCCGTGTCCGTGTCCGTGCGTCATAGCTCAATCCTTTCCCTATTTAAATGCTAGCTAATCCGCTTATGCTTGTGTATGTTGACTCAAACCCCTACATTTCAAATTCATCCATCTAAATGTAACACTAATAGCTTACCCTCTAACGTCAAGATGTTACTGTGTGTGCGTATTTGCTTATTGTTACGGGTGCATGCCCATGTGTCCAATTTGCTTCGATGAAACGCATTAGCAGGTTTATGTACGTCTCACAATTATATGTGTGCGTTTAAGTGTGTGTGTGTGTGTTTGTGTGCATAGGTGTTTGCTTAAGTGTAAATTAGCTATTTTCAAAGCCTGTTGAGGCAGTGAAACTATGGCATATTGGTTCAAGTTATTATGTAGAAATTGCTTCTTGCTATATAAAAGATACTGATGACAATGCATGCAGGATAAAGAAGATGATTTGAAAGTGGGTGTTAAATCTACGGCCCTGAGGTTTGGGGATTCAACTAAGGAGTGGGTTACTGGGTTTGGCATAGCATGCATCAGTAGTCTTGCCTTGAGTGGATTCAATGCTAATATCGGTATTTACTAGGCTTGTTGTTTATTGTTTGCTAGTACGCTACTTGTATAGTCAAATAGAGTTGGCTCATAGTTACACTCTCTCTCTTTCTGTTTGTGGTTTCCTGGGTGGAGCAGGATGGCCATTTTATGCATGTCTGACTGCTGCTTCTGGTCAATTAGCATGGCAGATTTTGACGGTTGATCTGTCATGTCGGGATGCCTGCAATAGGAAGTGGGTATTATCTTGATAAATTTGCAGTCTGTGTTACCTGTGGTAGATGTTGAAGTGTTTATTCTGCAGATTATACTTTCAGCTCAACTGATTCCTGTGGACCACTTTTTTGATATGCAAATTGTAAAGTTGAGATATTTACGGATCCTGAATTTTGATTTTCTAATGAACTTCGATGAAAATGAGCTATATTAAGTATTTTCTGAGTAATAATCTAATTCTTTTGGTTTCTCATGTTGAAGCGTCAAAGTGGAATTACTCTGATTTGATGATATATTTTGTAAATTAATTCATTTTGTGAAACTGTCGCCTAAACATTGGTGGATATATGTGTATAAATATATATACATTTTAATCCATTGGCTGTTCTATTGCTTGAAGATCATAATTTTTAGAATGTTGGACAGAGATTCTCTCTAACCAGTAACTCAATATATCTGATTCTCTAGTGGCTGTTTTTCCTCGTGCTTAGAACTGTAATTGCTCTACTGATTCCAATATGTGTGTTGATATGTATGTATTCATCATAAAATAAATAGGATTCCATATAATGAAAAGGTTATTGATCTGAGTCTTTATGCCTCAATGATGTGGGGGTTTCCCTTTTTTTTTTTCCTCTTTTTTTATTTATTTGTTTATTTTTTCTTGGGAGGGGGAGGGGTTTAAAATATTATCAGTTAAATTTCCTCAATAGAAATATGGATTGTTAGGTTGTCATCATCAGCCCTAGTGGCTCTGCCATGTGCATCACATCAATTTCAAGTTCTAGTTTATCATTTCTTTCTTTTGCCTCCCTCAAGGCTACTTTTCAACATAGATATTGTACTTCATTTACAAGCCAGATTTTAAGGCTGTATTTCGATAACGTATTTGGGGAGGGATTTATTAAGGAAAGGAAAAGAGGGAAGGATAAAAGTGATAAAAATTTAGCTTTGATTTCATTCACATTCCCCACGACTTTTCCTTTCCCTTTACAGATCCCTCCCCAAATCTAAGATCCAAATACAGCCTAAATGTGATGACGTCATTTCTACTTCAATATGTAGACTTGATATCAATAAGCTCTTATTTAAACACCAACTGAACAAGGCTTAAATGTTTTGATTTGACTCTCTAATTTGTTTTTCAAAATGCATGTTTTTATGCGTTGAATGTCAAGTATGTTGTTCTTGATTTAGCCCAGTTTGAGCAAGTATTTGGTTCTTGATTTAGCCCAGTTTGAGCATATGTTACTCTTCTGTGTACTTAAACTTGGAAACTATTGACTTGCCTCTTTCTGTGTTTTGCTAGATTTGTCTCAAATAAATGGTTTGGTGCTATTGTTTTCAGCGGGATCCTATTTGGAAGACTTGCATCATGATGGTATGTTCTTTTGTTTATTTTGGAAATCTCTCTCTCTCTCTCAAACACATGCAACAGATATACAGTCATTTTGAATTGTGCAACTGTTCTATATACTCTTTGGAGAAATTTTCAAATGAAGTTTTGAAACCTGCTAAATAAACTTATCTAGATAATTCATCAGTTGAGAACATGTAGTGTATAGAGATACACTCCGATTGTGGAATGCATAGTGTGATTCAAGATTGGAAATTTTGTGGTTCCTAACTGATGGGAGGCTAGCTGGAAAACCTTGCATTTGTAATTGAACCCAGAAATTTTGTTGGTTTTTTATACTATTATTATGATAAGACTTTTCCATTTCCAATATTTGTTGAAAGGGGGGCAGATTACTTTGATCCAGAGTGTTTGTTGAAAGGGGGGCAGATTACTTTGATCCAGAGTGTTCTCTCCAGTATTCTGACATACTTTATGTTTGTACATGTGATGCCTGTGGGGGTGGTTAAGAGGTTGGAGCGGCTGCAATGGGATTTTTTTGTGGAGTGGGGGTGGGGGAGGATTTTCATTATCATTTGGTGAATTGGGAGAGGGTCTGTACTTTGAAGAAGAGGGGGGGTTTGGGTGTGCGGAAATTGGTGGTGTTTAATCGGGCTTTATTGGGAAAGTGATTGTGGCGTTTTGTGTGGGAACGGGAGCGGCTATGGAGGAAGGTGGTGGCGGTGGCGAAGGCGAAGGCGAAGTACGGGGAAGAGAAGGGGGGGTGCTCAAAGCCGGTGGCTTAACCTCATGGTCATGGGTTGTGGAAGGAGATTTGGTCGGGGAGAGGTTTTTTGGGAGAGGGTTCGGCTCGATGTGGAGGTAGGCGATCGGGTTCGTTTTTGGCAAGATCGGTGGTGTAGTGGGTTGTCTTTGACAGCTATGTTCCCTTTGATTTATGCTATTGCCACTGATGGGAGGAGTTGGTTGCTTCCGTTAGGGTGAAGCAAGTGCAATTAGCTGCTTGGAATGTTCATCTTCGGCGTGATATTCAGGATTGGGAGTTAAACCAATTGGTGGATCTTCTGGACTTTTTGTATGGGTTGCAGAATGGGGGGGATGCGGTGGATTCTTTGGTTTGGGATGTTTGGAGTTCTAAAGGAGTTTTCTCAGTGTCTTCATTTTATAGGGTGCTTGCAGGGAGTGCTGGTGGTGTGTTTCTGTGGAAGTGTATTTGGGCGGTGGGATCTCCTTCTAGGGTAGCTTTTTTCGTCTGGACTGCTGCTTTGGGTCGTATTCTTACTATTGATAATTTGATTCAGCGGCGGCATGTGTTGGTCAATTGGTGTTGTTTGTGCTGTGAAGCTGTAGAAACGGTGGATCATTTACTTGTGTAGTGTTTGGTGGCGGCTCGTCTTTGGTGTATGGTTGTTACTCTTTTTGGTTTGGTTTGGTTTGGTTTGGATGCAGCCAAGGTCCGTGTTGGATGTGTTGCTTAGTTGGGGTGGGGCTAAGGTGGGTAAGAGGCAGCGGAAGGCTTGGTTACTTGCTTCCCATTGCTTGATGTGGTTGGTTTGGATGGAGTGCAACCGCCGTGTTTTTCAGAATACGTCTCATTCGTATCTTTGGTTAGAAAGTCGGCTTCTTTTGGTGTTGCATAGTTGGATGACGGGTTCGGTTGATCCTGATGTGTTGACTTTTGTAAATTTTGTGGAGAATTTGTTTAGATAGTGTATTTTGTGGCCATTTTGGGTTGCTTTTTTCCTTGTATTCTTTGCATCGTCTTAATACTTTTCTAATAAAATTGTTTATTTATAAAAAAAAAAAATATTTTTCCATTTTGGTTGACATGAGTTAATTGGACTATACTTTTGTTAAATCAGGTGTCAATGACTTCTAAAACTCAAGGTCCTCTGGAGAAAATTTTCATTTCAAACTGCAGATTGTTGGGCATGACAAGGTAACTTATGCTGAAACTAGAAGGCAAAAAGTCTGTTACTTATTGCTACTTTCAATTAGAATTTGAAAGCTACCCTGTTGACACCCGGTGCCTCGGTTTAGAACCTCAGAAACTATGTTGTTACCCTGACCGCAAAGATTACTCTCGGCAATTGGTGAATTGTGCACACTTCAGAGACTCAACTGCTCTCGATTATTATACAGAAATTAAACCACAATCTTTTGCAGAAGCTGAAGTTATTTTTCAGAGAATAATTTAATTTGGTTGGCATAGGCGGTGTTATATTGAAGTTGCTGTTGTTGTAAGATCCAATTGTTTTAAGCTTGATACAACTAAAAAAAATCAACTGGTATTTATATCCTAGGAGTTTCATAGTGGTCAATATTTATGTGGGTGTTTAGGAGGTTACTATTTTAGTTTTTGGCTATTTTACGAGGTTAAAATTTTTGTGTTTGGGAAAGATAGTTGGATTTTTTTGTAGTTGGATGTGATATTTGTGAGAGAAAAAGTGAAATGATTATAGATTTGATGTGACATTTTATCTTATTGGTTATTTTAGCTTATTTTGTTTTTCAGTGCTATTTTAGCTAAAAAAGTTAAAAAAAACTTTTTCCCAAACACCCCTTACAAGAGGCTTTTTGTTTTGTAACGAGTATTTTTCCTATTGAGTTAAATTGGGCATGTTTGGATGATAGAAAAGTAGAAGTGGAATGATCTAAAATGATTCCCTTGTTTGGCTCCTTTTTTAAGACATGGAATGTGATTACTTTTGAGATAAAATTAGATTACACACACAAGCCATAAAAATCTCATAATTTTGGAGTGTTCAAGAGTAAAATCTAATTGAGCCTACATTTGTTTTTGTGCTCACAGGGGGTGTTTGGGGCTTTGTTTTGACTAATCACCTGGAAACATGTAGTTTGTTGTATCGGAATATCGTATAATTATTGGGCCAAAGTCTTGGGATTAGCTTCCCTGGAAATTTTCTGTCGGACCAAAGTCTTAGGCTAACCTTTGCCTGCAGGTCGGTTTCAGTCTTATTGCATGCATCCGCCACCTGAGTGAATAGGGTTTGGATTGAGAAGATTTTATCCGCATGTACTATTCATAGTTTCGAAATCGACCGAGCAAGTTAGGCAGATTGGGTTAGCAGATTGAACAAATCTTAATTTTACAAAATCTAAGATTTTTAACTGAACAATGAAATAGAGAGTTTTGTTTTATGAAAAGTAAAAGGCGACCCGATCAAGTTTTACTACTTTATTTTATTCATTAAACAAATAAATAATATTTATTTTATTCATTAAGTAAATAAATAATATAATATGCATTTGCATGTATTAATATGGATTTCGTGAGTTGAAACTTATATATTCGCTGCTTGACTGAAATCTGACTTTTTGAAATTGATAAATTTGCATCTGTTTGCCAATTAGCTGCCTACTACTAGTGTTTACACAAATAACTTGGTAATGTGTATTTGGATGTATTTGAGTAGTAAGTAGTTCAAATGAAATGTTTTTTTTTTTTATATTGGGTCTAGCTTCTCTCCCGGCTAATCAACTTGAGGCTGTTGTTGGTTCTATTGAGACCTATCACGAGTCTCGTTTTAATAATTTAAATTGTTGAATGTGTAGAACTCATTGAGTACTATATTTCTGTAAAAAATCACGTTGATCGGATATTGATAGTTACGTGATCAAATCAGTTTTGTATTTAAAAAAAAAAAAATAAACGGTAAAAAAATAAACAATTGACCGAAATCTGATCGATGAAATAGCTATCGATATTCGATTAACGTAATTTTTTATAAGCATATAGTACTCGATTAGTTCTACATATTGAACGGTTCGAATTATTGAAACGAGACCCATGATGGCCCCTACAAGCCCAATAATACCCTCCAGTCCAATTACAAACTGAAGGAAAGCCAATCCCTTTTTATTTCATCATATTTGTCACAAAAAATTTACCTTTTAGCTCTATCTAGACTAGGTTGAACTTATATGACTTGTCAATATTAATTGAAAGTGTCAGACTTGTCTCCAGTCCACTTTGTAGATTGGACGGTACTGTTGGCTTTGTAAGACTCACCATAGGTCCTGTTTCAATAATTCGAACCATTTAATGTATAGAGCTTGTCGAGTACTTTATCTCTATAAAAATCACGTTGATCGGATATTAATAATTACTTGATCGGATTAGATTTTTGTCAATAATTTATTTTGAAAATCATATTTACTGTTGACAGAAATTTGATTCGATTAGATAGCTATTGATATCCGATCAATGTGATCTTTTAGAGGAATAAAGTAATTGACGAGCTCTACACATTAAATGGTTTGAATTATCGAAATAGAATCTGTGGTGGGCCCCCACGGATCCAGCAGCATCCTCTAGTCCGATCTCGAATTGGAGAGAAGTTTGGCCCAATTTATTAAATGGCGAGTGTCACAATTCTTTCTTAAAGTCAACATCGAGAGAAATTTTTATAGGTTAATAAGGTACCACGTGGCATTATCTTTTACCAATTACAAATGTATATATTCTTTATTATTTTCCAAATGCTTAACATAAATGTAATAGACTTTATTGTCAAAACTAATCACAATAATAAAAAAATACCACATAATATATATCCTATCTATATATAATACCCCCCCAACTACTTTTAAGATGGCGTGTTTCTATCTATGACTTTCAAGATTGACAGAAAAAGCCAAAGTAATTTGGAAAATAAATATTGTACCAAAATTATATAGAGTACCCTCCCAATTTGTAGTTTGATAAACATGTTCAGTGCTACTTGTGCAGTCCTAAGAAACATAATTAATGATAGAAGCAAATCGAATCAACAAGCTGAGGCAGATGGAGTTTATGATTCCATTACATCTTTTGAGTTTGTCTTCATCTTACATCTTATGAGGGATATCATGGAGATTACTGATGATCTTTGCCAAGCTTTGCAAGTAAATCTCAAAATATATTAAATGCAATGCATTTGGTGTCTACAACGAAGATACTTATTTAAAAATTTAGAGAAGATGGATGGGTTCCATTGTTAGAGAAAATTAAATTATTTTCTAATGATCATGGTATACAGATTCCTGATATGAGTTGTCCTTATAAAGGAGGCCGAGGTCGGTCTCATTCTGAAAGAGATCAACTCACCATGGAACATCATTTTCGAGTTGATATTTTTATGGTTACAGTTGATTCTCAGTTACAAGAATTAAACAATAGGTTTAAGGAAGATGTAATGGAATTGCTTGTTCTTAGCTCAGCTTTGGATCCTAGGGATGGTTATAGATCATTCAAAATTGAGGATATTTGCAAACTTGCAAATAAATTTTATCTCATGGATTTCTCCGAGCAAGAAAAATTACATTTGAAATATCAGTTGGAAAACTATAAGCTTGATATTTCCATACTTTCCGAGTTTTAGAAGCTGTCAACCATTTCTGAGTTATGTCAGTTGTTGGCAAAAAAAAAAAAGTTGACAAGGTATCCTCTTATTGATAGATTGATCCGCCTTGTGTTGACTTTACCTGTTTCAACTGCTACATCAGAACGTGCATTTTTAGCTATGAAACTCATTAAGTCTAAATTGCGCAATAGGATAGAAGATGGTTTTCTGGCTAGTTACTTGATTACGTACATTGAAAAAGACATTGATCGAGGGTTTGATGTAGATTCTATCATCCATGCTTTTGATATTATGAAAGAACGTCGAGTTTAATTGAAGATGCCTAATTTTAGTATATAAATGCATGTAGAAATAATTACTACTTTTTGTAAGTGAATATGGGCAAAAAAATATTCTCAATTGTATAATCATCTTTTGGTACTCAACTATGTTGACAAGGAATATATAGTTCAATATTTTATCGTAACATTATTGATTTTTTCCATGTTAGTAGAAATTGGTATTGAACTTCAAATTTTATTTGTTAGAGGTTAAACGTACTTTGGCTCCCCAAAGTCATAATCCTGGATCCATCCCTGTACATAAATATTACTTAAAATTTTAAATGTACACTTATCTGTCGATATTCATTTTCTTTCTCTTTGTTCCAAAATTTTTGGAGCACCTCACAGTTTTTGAATCATGCATTGCACAAATCAAACGGTTAATTTTATATAAATTCTAATATAAATTTTTGAATATTTATCTAGCCAAAATTTCTAGAGAGTATTCCTCTCCATATACATTCATTCTCTCTCATTATTTCAAAATTTCTAGATTCATCACTGCACTCCTTTTCATTATCAGTGCATCATGTGTTCTTATGCTTATTCGAAAAAGGGTTGATTTTTTCCGAATTCATATATAAATTAGAGGGTGTTGTTCGGATTTAAAGGGTTCACTATGGATCCTATTTTGAATATCGAAATCATTCATTTTATAAGATCCTTTGTGTATATTATTTCTAAAAAAATTAAGTCGATTTGATAATCATAATCTTTTCATTTTATCACATTTGTTACAAAGGAATATCTATTTTCTAGAACACATTTGTTGTCTATTTTGTTAGACACAAATATGATAAATTAAATAGACTACGAGTATCGAATCGATTTATGTTTTTATACATAAATAATATATATAAATAATTTTATAAAATAAATGATTCAAATTATTACATGCGCACTCATGATGAGCAGCGCCACCCTCATGTCCAAATATAGGATTGGCAATCTATTGCCTATAGAAAAATTATTATACTTTTGTAATACCATGTGGTATTATTTTATGCAGAACTCTGAGCCAATTATTCACCCAAAAAAACTTTGAGCCAATGAAAAAGCGTATCACTTTTATCTTTTAATTACTTAAGAAAGGTAAATTAATATATTCGTGACTAAATTTTTTTAAGATAAATTATACACCTCTGTTGAGGTTTGAAAAAAATATAATTAGTCTTATATTTTTAATATAATTGTATTAATCTCCTTTTTGTAAACTCAAAACGACTAAAATTAATATAGATGATGGGTAAATATTAAAACAAATATAAATAAATATGATAATGCCATATTTTTATTCATATGACTAACGAAGTACGATGAGAAGAGTCTAACTATTGTGTGAATTAAAACATTAAGAAAGATTAATATAATTATGTCAAATGTGTATTCTTCAAACCCCATGGGAGGTGAACGCAATTTACCCAAATTTTTATTAGGGTAAATTATACCATTAATTCCTTTAGTTTGAGTACAATTTTACTTTGATTCTTGTAATTTTAATTTGAACAATTTAGTCCTTACATTTTCAATTTGTTACAATGTGATCCCTTTATCACGTGTTAACATTTGGAACCAAAAAAAAAAAAAAAAATCACGTGCAAAATTAGAGATTAAAGTAAAAATCAAAACAAACTATGAGGACCACCCATATAATAAATATATTACATCGGTGGTCTCTGTAGGTTTATTCTTTGAATTTCACTTTGGTCTCTCTAATTTTTCATATGGTTTTTTCTGTTTCAAATTCTAAAGATAAGTGACAAAAACACCACATTGAAATAAAATTAAAGGTATAGGGATCAAATTATTATTCAAATTAAAATTATAGGGATCAAATTATTATTCAAATTAAAATTATAAAAATTAAAATGACATTTCATTTAAACTATAGAAACTAATAATATAATTCACATTTTTATTACATAATTTTTTTTTTAAACGTAAAAAATGATATTCTAAAATGTCATCACTGTATCTATAGGCTAGGTCCCAAAAGAAGTCAAGTATTGATCTTGATATCTCCACAAAAAATCAACTGAATAACCCAATATATTTACATCTCTAAAAAAATTGAACCTGACTCACTCTTCTAAAATAAGTTGCCTTCACCATCAAACCACTACTGGCTGGTCTATTACATAATTGATTACCCAAACTCACAGTCCCGATTGAGTCCACTAATTTAGCTGTTCTAAAAGCAATTCTAAATAGGTGGCAAGCTCAAAAAAAAATAAAATAAATAAATAATAAGGCATAGAAATGATGTGACAGTGGACTCATTGCCACATCATTAGTAACTTAATTACTTGACTTTAATACTTGGCTCTATAATAAATAAAACTTAACCGTCGCTCCATTTTCTACCGGGATTCCTCAAGTATCCCTTCTGAAAAGTAAGCAACGACAGTTTCTTGATGACTTTCCATCAATCTTCTTTTATGAGGGGGGCCAGTTACATACTCAACTGCCCAATTCTTTGTAGATGGACCACCCATTATGCCTTCCCTTTGGAGCAAGAGGCCTCATTAGTTGGCCTAATGGAGCTCGAGTCGTTCTAAGATGCAGCCGAGTAGAGCGTCTTTCTGGCAGATGTGCATTCGCTTGAAGCCGGGATGTATACAGTCGTTGATCGTCTTGTTGAATCACCCTATTCCCCAGGTGTTGAGCCATCTAAGGTTGATGATTGTCAACAAAAACCTTGTCTTCCTGGAAAGACATGCCGCATTGTCCGTCTGTATGACCAATCTTGCCACATTTTCGACACATATCATACTGACATTCGATCCAATGATGGCTGCCATCCTGGAATTTTAGGAAAAAACCACTTATCAACGGTGCCTCCAAACAAATCCACACTTTTAGTCGCAAATATCAAATATTGCGAGGCCAAACAGTATCCACATCAACCTGAATAACTTCGCCAATGGCCTTTCTCAAACAAAAACCTGCCTCAGCAGTGTCACACTCAAGTGGCAGACCAATCAAACGAACCCATATCCCAGCACATGGGATGACTAACTTCTCCAGCACCAACCCAGGTCGCCAAAGATGGACGATTAACAAAGCCCTCGCAACCGCATAAGGACCAATGGCAACCACCCGCTGCATATCATGTTCATGCTCAAACAAAAAAATAAAAAAGTTCTTACTACCACCAAAGGGTTGGTGAAAATACCAGGGAAAAAAAAAATTATTGATAAATAATGCAAAGAAAAAGAGATACAAATAGATTAAACTGAGGTACGGATATTTCGTTTTCTTTAAGGAGATCAAGCCCACTGCGGTAGAAAGAACCCAAATACCGATGCAGTAGTCACAAAACTATGACTTGTCCCCTCCAGGATACAAAACTATGACTTGTCCCCTCCAGGATACAACAGCCCGACCACTTGTCGTATGGTTCAGGCCAACTCTACACAAGATGGTAAACCCAAAGCTTCACTAAGAAAAATACTCTTATTTGCTAGTAATGTCTCTTGTATAGAAAATAGTTGGTGTGTTGGTCTAGAAAAGAATAGATAAGATGAACTATTTATAGGCCATTAGGACTTTACAAAAAATACCAAAAAATAATAATGACCATGAACTTAGAAAAAATGAAGAGTCTCCAAAAAATTAACTCACCACTAAGTTCATGAACTCAAATTAATCTTTATTCATAAACAAGACAAAAAGACATCAAAACAATGAATTTTCATTCATAAACAAGACAAAAGAAGATTCATAAACAAAAATATATAAATAAATAAATAAAATATATTAAAATGGTCCAACAGACATACATAAACCCATCCAAACGCCAAAGATCATCAAGATACGACTGCATCAGATAAACATTAAATTCCCGGAGATCATGAACATAGCTAACTAAACATTGGTGATACACATTTCGGCCCATTCCCCATGTGGCATCAGCCATTTCCATACTCACCCCGCACCGTAAGTGGTGCTGGGATGGAGGGTTATATGCACGAGGGGAAGAAGCAGCCCTTCGTTCTCCTGAAAATTCACTACCCACCTCAGTATCACTACTGTCATGAGTTTGGCTCCTTTTTTAAGACATGGAATGTGATTACTTTTGAGATAAAATTAGATTACACACACAAGCCATAAAAATCTCATAATTTTGGAGTGTTCAAGAGTGAAAACTAATTGAGCCCACTGTGTGAGTAGATTTCTTACCACATTGTCAAATTAATATTCAGCTGGAGAGTATCGCCAGAATAGATTAAGTCCGAACGACCTGTTACAGAAAGAAGAGATTCCGGTGGTGGTTCGTCTACTCGGGGCACTCTGACGATCAACTCAGTTATCTCTCAAAGATAGCAAAAATAATTAACTCACTATTCAGAATATAAAAAGTGTACATTTGACCCATAAGGGTGCCTCTCTTTTATATTAAACACAAACTTAGTCCCAATAGAAGCCTAACTTCAATGAATTCTGGATTACTGCTAGTCTTGGACTCCTAGTAGGATTGGGAAGCCTAGCTTCAATGGACTCTGGATTACTACTAGTGTTGAACTCCCAGTAGGATTGGGATAAACCCTTTAAGAGTCTTATCTTTATCCAAATTGAAGTCTTCTCTCATTCTAGAAATCATGTCTCTTATCCGCTTATCCGGGATTCTGGTAATGAGAATCATATCCCTTATCCGCTTATCCGGAATTCTGGTATTTTCGTAGATAACCTCAG